ATATTCTTACATCTTCCGGTGTGTTACCCCTATCGACGGGAAATGCGCAGGCCCAGTAGGCGTGGGGTGGCCTACTGGGGTGGAAGTAGCGACTTTCTCCTGCGCAAATATTGTGCAGGGGGAGATTCGACTTCTTACGAAGGTGGAGAGGAAGGGAGGCCCTCCCGTTATTTTGCAACGGTAAAAGGGGGTATGGGAGACCCTTCAGAGTCCTTGTTGATTCTAAAGCGTCAGATTATTATGCTCAGAAGAGGAGTATCACGGAGAATTCGCTCCTCTTCGTTGTAGTATGCGCAAAGAATAATGGTAGCATTAATGTCCGTCTTGCGGCGGGTGTAATTGTTACGCGACCGAAGATCTAAGTCGATCTACGAGTCAAATTCTCTGACTTTGTCTTCAAGTCGATGTTCTCCGTCATCGACATGGTATGATCGGTATGATCTCATACCACGGTATGCGTGGTTAGACTATCACGAGCCATGGATCGATTGGAGAACCAGGAAGATTGCGAGTAGCTCGCCGGGTGGAAGTCATACCTACGGACGTCGTGACCCGTCGTGGCTATCCACCAGAGTCGCAACTTTACAATCGAAAATGGAGCTCACTATGTTGGCGTTTGCGACATAGTTGTGAAGCCACAAGTCACCCAGAAGTTGCGGTATGCGACGCCATTTGTGTCGAAACAAGATGCTCCAGTAGATATATCTACTACTCTGGAAGCCTATGCTCCAGTAGTTATTGCTGCTGTGAAGGCTACTATGCTCCAGTAGTTAAATCTACTGTGGAAACCAGTGCTTTGGTAGATTACACCACCATGAAGCACGTTATGCTCCAGTAGGCAAATCTACTGCGGAAGAAACACCATATAGAGCACTACTGTGGAGAATGAGAAGAGAAGAGAAGAGACAGCGATTTGATTCGCAAACTGAATCAATTATTTCAAGAGTTCGTGTGTTCCCTATTTCGCCCTTGAGTCCAAGTACACGTCAACATGTCGGAGTTCGGAACTCCCGTGCAGCCATGGCATACGACACGAGATCGAGATTTAACCGGGTGCAGGATACCTGCTATTACATAAATCGCCGTTGCCAGCTGATCATTATTTTAGGACTCGTTCTTTGCTGCTAAACAGCAACAGGGGTGGGTGAGAGAGATTAAATCTTCCCACAGTGTGCCAACCTTTTGCGCTCGCAAACGCAATGGCAAGAAGTCCTAGTACAGAACTTTATCCCTCGCAAGGATGCCAGTATCAACAAGGTGACTGGCTCAAAAATCTTTAGTGTAATTGATCTGGATTGATCTAGTAGATGGCTACAATCAAGTTTTAATGAATCCTCCATAGCGGTTGCTATGGGAGTGGTATCTCGTTATGCACTTAATCCGTCCATTGCAATCGTTTGCGTCGACGTTTCTCGATGACATCTTTGTCCATCCAAAGCCCTAAACAGGTCAATCGATTTACCAAGCTCATCCTGAACACATGGAACAGGCATTGGCGCGTATGACAAAACATCATCGATTGACATATAGGTATTCGGCGCCAGAGAAGTACTTGTTTTGGGCTGTTTGTCGGCGCCGACGGTGTCTGGGCAGACCCAGCGACGAACAAAGCGATCTCAGAATGGCCTGCGCCAACTAACCAGAAGGACTTGAGAAAAAGGCTGGGTCTGGCCAACTATTTCCATTGGTATACCAAGAATTGTGCCGACTTGGCACGCCTGCTATCGGACTTGTTGAAGAAAGATCAAGAGTGGTTATGGACAAAATGATGTGCAGTCGCCTTTGAATAGATCAAGCATAGCTTGCAGGTAGCAGCAATTTTGGCGTTATCAGCTGACGATTTACCGTACAGTGTCGTGCGCGTAGCCTCCGACTTTGCGATCGGGTGTGCAGTGCTACAGCAAGCTGTACAGACAAGAATGTGTCATCTTGTATCAGTCAAGCAGCTGAAAACAGCTGAACGGAATAACCCCGCTCACGACAAAAATCTGTTGGCAATGCAGTATGCTTTGGCAAACTTTTGATCTACCTCGTAGGGTCCAAGCCTTTCGCCGTTCACACCGACCACGCATCGCTGCGTACAGCGACTCAAGCGCCGCAGTTGTCACAATGGATGACCCGTTGATATTCTTTCCAGAACACAACTTTACTGTGGTATAAAAGTCAGGAAAACTGAATGTTTTGGAGGATGCCTTATCTCGGCGTCCTGATTGCACATGATCAGTGATTTCCCAAGCTTCTTCCAGCGTGCTCGATATGACACGGCAAGCGTATCCAAACGACCCATATTGTGCTGTTTTCCATAAGTGGTGGACAACAATGGGTAATTCAGCTTTATCGACATAATAATATCCGCGAGATTGCGCTCGGACTCATCCATACTCCCTCGAGGACGGATTACTGTTCTACCAAGTACATGAAAGAGATGTCTCGCCTATCGCGAGGCATCTCGGTCCGAAAAAGGCTTATGTAGCGCTTGCACACCACTTTCGGTGGCCCAAAATGTATGCTTGGGTTTAGAAGTACCTTCGTACGTGTGACGTTTGTCAGCGTGTAAAGCTCTCTCCACACAGTCAGGGTCCGTTGCAGACTAGCAGATTGCTGACGGTCCGTCACTTTGGACTTTTTCTCTGATCCTGATGCCGCTGGAAGTAATGATTTTTGGTCTTTGTAGACTGATGGTGCACCTCGCACCAACGGCTGATTTTGTTTATGGGGAACAGAGCGCTCGATTATTTATCGATCATGTCTTTCGGCATCGTGAATTACCAGAGTCACTCGTATCCGATCGTAATACGCGCTTTACAGCGGGCTTTTAAATAAGATTATTTCATTTTCTAGGTACTCGCTAAGAGATGGCCACCAAGGACCATCCAGAGACCGATGGTTAGATTGAACGCGCGTATCGCGTTGTGGAAGACACTTTGTGCATCGTCGCCGACGAGATGGAGCTATCTGTCCCGATAGTCAAATTTGCCATCAACAACGCAGTTTATGCTTCAACAAGCTTTACGCCATTTTACATTAATAGCATTCGTCATCCGGCATTGCCTCTTTGTCTTATATGGACACGCAAGATTCTGGGGAGGGAGGGGCTCGGCAAGCGTTTGCCTCCCAGCTCACTACGATTGGAAGGCGTCAGATTTGTCAAAGTTTACGACCGAAAGAGAAAATATTGTATCACGCTTACGTGATGTTATAGTGATTTAATAAATAATAACTATAATGCTGATACGTATGGACGTGAGAACGCACATGTATTTAAAAAATGTTGATTATATACTAGTCAGCGTCAAGAACATAACTGACGCTGTCGTCAAGTCGAGGATTTTCCAAGCTCCTTTTCCGATACCTTAGTCCCTCCAAGGTCTTGAAATGTGCCGGAAATGCGTACACATTGATTTACCAAGCTGAATCCTTATTCATCCAGCGCTTACGCAAGCCATAATTTAGTGATTCTTCAAATCGTACGAATTGTACGAATGAGGTTGATCGTAGTCCGCAACGGCGACAAACGTGTCGGTGAAACCCTACTGTGCCATAGCACTCTGAAGTTGGTGAACTTCATCACGAAGACTTAGATTCTCCGCTATAAGGCATTCATCCACAGAGCAAACATTTTTGTGTGAATGTTCACCTTCACATGGCGAGCTTCAGCGCACAGTGATTCCGTCGCCTTCGACATTTAATGACCCATCTTCGCGATCGCGTTCTCATTTGCGTCTGAAAATGCTACGACCTCCTCCAGACGCATCGTTGCTTCCCTCGTCTGCAAGTATAGCGCCGACAAAAACGCCATCGAGACATTGATGTCGATTTTATGATCACCAAGGATTTCTTTACCGGTGGTAGATTTTTGGGGTTGTCTAATTCCATATAGGAAAGATTGTGCTGGCACGCCGACACCGTAAGAAGCTACAGCTCCTTGTGAGATACCTCGGCTGTCAAGATTTGATTGCTCATTCGCAAATCCTTGCTGATTGCCGAGACGTAGTCCGTAAGTGGGAAGTTGCAAACCCCCACTGGCTCCACTACGAGCCGAAACGAAAGAAGAGCTCTGTCCCATCGCTTGGGGTCTAACCATGGGAGCCGAAGACGACCAATACAGTGACGATGCACCTCACCCATGTTTCCACGAAATGTAACAATATTTGCTCTGACCTGTCCCTCGCATACGAGTTTCGCGTATCGAAACGCATGTCGCGCACCTTAGCGATCGCCAGATAACGACAAAAAACTGCCTGTCAGGTTTGCGATAGCTCTCAATCGCAATCAACTTTAAGGTGTGCACCCACTCCCAGAATGTTCTGTTAATGTTGTTGGGCGACTCCGCTGGCCGTGTTTGCACCCATGGTATCCCACGTACATTATAGTTTGGATTGCATGCGCCGCAATGACGCAACAGCCATCGTCTCCGGTGTTGCGTGGTGAAAACAAACGGCTCGACGGCCTCCTTCAGAGTCATCAGATTGCGTTCCGGTGGAACTGCCTGATCAAATCAGCGGACTCCTCACGTTATTCAGGCTCCATCTCCATACCAGCGCTGATATTTTGAAGGTTTGGAATGTGCCACATGTCATCATTCGACAGTGATTGCGAAGCGTGTTTTCCGCGCATGGCACGGGCTACTAACGTCGTCGCCGTTGGCGTACTCGTTGGAAGTGTAGGCGCAGTCACTTACTCTTGAGCGTCTTTGCTTCAGCAACAAAAGGTGGAGGAAGCTCTCATTCTTCATGGTCGTCCGCCGACATGTGGTCGTCACTCATCTCGATATATGGATTCTGGTGCGTTCTTTCAGCTTTCCAACTCGTGGAGAAGACCAAAAAGTTGCTGTCGTCTTCGTCGCCGCCCGAATTCGAAGACGCCTCCGTTTCCGGTTACATCGGTTGTGCTGGCGACTCCACTTGACGCTGACGTCGCTCCTAGGCAAATTTTTCGAGCTTGGCAGCTGGTGTGTTCACATTTCTACCACGGGCGTGTCGCTGTCGCCAGGCTTGGGAGGAGCCACTCTGCGTCCATTCCCAATAGATGCCTCTCGCTCTTGTAATGTCGTGTCCGACATCTTTCGCGTCCTAAGTGATACAAGGTTTTCTTTAAGGTATCCCTGTTCTTCTGGGACAAGTGTATGTCCTATATTGGGTAGTGGGTGGTGTAATGGGATGGTAGGCCTATTACACACTTTGTGTGGTACATATCAATAACTGGTTAACTAAGTGTGCACTATGCTAATTAGTAGGTGGTTACAATTAGGACACTTAGATTAGGATCAGGATGAAACCACCTATAAATTATTCAGTATTCATCTTGATCTAGAGATTCACACACGGCTGCGGTTAAAGGGGTGAGTACGTCAGCTACGCGATAAGACTAAGCCCCAGGGTAACGCCACCTCAGCGCAAGAGTGCGTGTAACCAGCTGTCCCATTAAAATAGTAGTGACGCTGCACAGGTTAGTGGCGAGAATAATTATCCAATCGTGAAAGGGTTTTCGAGATACCTTTAAATATCCACTCATTATCGACAGTAGCTCACATAAAGATGTTATACCGAAGGATGTTTGCAAAGAGTTGAATGACGACGGATCAGCGGTATGATACGGTCAGTAGTGAGAAGAAGCTGATCTCACCACCGTAACGGACAAGTCTGCACTCGTAGAGCACTGAGAGTGCAGCTATCCTAAGAGATCCTATAAGAGAATATTCGTTGCCGGAAGAATAGACACTCGCAATTATGAATTCGGGCGTCCAAGGTGTTCATATCAAGCTAGAGGCATTGCTGAGCTCCGAGATGCGATTCTTACCGCGTGGTTGTCAAGAAATAGTTGCATTTTCTTACCGGCGCTTGGTTATCAGATCATCTATCAGGCAGCGTGTGTGCTGAGAAAATAAAAGATTGGAAAGAACTGACTAGAATTGGTGTGTGCATGGACCGTACTATCTTAAATACGTTTAACTTGCCTGTGTGGTCATTTGATAGAGATCGTATAAGGCTTAAGCAACGAGAATCATTTTATCTGAGCTGTACTCGTCATCACCCACAAATAGTCGCCATTTCTCGATATTTATTGACGTCATCTACATCCAAGGTGCAAAAAAACACCTCATCCTGTGTCGTTTTGTACACTGAAATGGCAGCTGCTAGCTATTCAAGTTTACAAAGATCACACTGCTGAGGTGAAGCTTCAAAGCACCCTTAAACTTTTGTGGCTGACATGAGAGGATGTCATTATTCAAATTTCTACTAAGCTCTCCTTACCACCTTCTACTATTTGAGAGGCAGAATAAACGCTTTCAAACGAATCCCAAGCGCTCCTGGTATTTTAAGTGAATGCGTTATGCGCATTGCGAACATAATGTTGATAAATGTATTGCTAAGTGTTGCATTTATCTGATTTCACTATACTATTTGATATTTAACTTCGAAGCAGTCTTAGACACGATCTCGAGCAAGCAAAGAGCTGTAGCTACTCAAAAATTTTCAGACATTGCTAAGGGTGTGGGCGCGAAAAACATCAAGACTAGGCAGGCGGAAAATGTCAAGCAAGCAAATTGAAAGTTAATCCTTGATCAGTCGATTTATTTGGCAATGTAAAAGGGTGCTCTTCACAACACACTCTCAAACACAACACATACGCTTGTGAGACGAGAAAGCGATTCCTATCGCGGAGGGATAAGGACAGTCTCGACTTGGAGGGAAGACGAACGACGTGAGGCAAATTTGCAACTGAATTAAAAACATATACCTTCTACAAAAGGTGAAATTCAAGTTTTTCGAAGTTCAAGATCTGTACACCCAAGATCTTGTATAAATTCAAGCTGAGATTTAACCTTAGTGCACCCTTTATTTTAGAAGCTCTTCGGGTGTTTTGCATGTAGTTCTAGGACACGTCGGTCGCGTCACCAGAGCAGATAGTAGGAGCCTGCATTCTGTATCATACAGAACATTTCTGACTTGAAATAAGATGTTGTATGCATGTAAGAACACGATACTGTAATCTTCGTTTATAGATGTTCACAATGTATAAGCACAACATGTAATGGCTAGTGTAGCCTATTCCAGGCGAGGAGTGCCAAACGATTCATTCAGCTTTGTTGTCCTTGTCAAAGTCTTGAATCGAGAATCTGAATGCTTTTTGAGTGCAAAGCTGTTCTTGAAATTGATCAGCTTTAGTTGTCGAGCCAGATCTGATATAGTGCTTCAATAAAGCTTGAATGTTGAGCGTAATCACTCCCATTTGTAATCAGAAGTAGGGAATTAATGTAGCTGACATCGTAAATATTTTAGGGGGGTTGTACGAGGTACTATACGCATCAAAATAAAGTTCCCGGACGGGGGCTCAAAGTCCGGGCTTGCATTTGTAATTAAAGAAGCTCTCATAATTATTCTAACTCTCAAATCAGTCAGCTGTGGAGCACAATTTCACAATTTTAATGACTGCTAAAAGTGGCCAGAGTCATTCCGTTTTATACATTTGACTTTTGAGGCTTAAGATGCCCTAGTCTTCCAGACGCTTGAAGCAGTCGATTTAAGAAGTATTTTGACATGTTGCGTGCAGCCTAAGTCGAACATTTCGATAGAATTAATCTCGTATTGTAATTCAGCTTATGTGTGACTAGATCCATTTGAGATGTGCAATTGGCGATCAGTAGACGCCGGGTTCCCTATGTACTGATTGTGCATATTCTTAAGTGTTTGAAGAGATATCATTATTATCTTAGCTAGATAAGTTTATGCAGAGAAGATGTAGCGATATTTAAGTGTGATCGGAATCAATTAGATCAATTGCGACTTAGTGTTTTGATTTATAAAAACTTCGGATGACATGCGGCTCTTTGGTTGAAGCGGTGTTTCCGTTCTAAACGGAGCTGCACCCTTGCAGCTTTTGTAAGTGTTCTCGCCGCCTATTCAGATATTTCGCGTGCGATTGCATTTCAGAAGGAGTAGGTGGACTTCGATAAGAAGTTGGGAATTTTCATTGCCAATGTGGCAATATGGCAGCCGATTCTCTCCCCGAGGCGGTTGCCGTGACCGTCTTTATGGACGTCCTTCGTGACGGCGTGGTCAGACTGAAAATCTACCGGGTGCATCCTTCTTCGTTGAAGAAGCGGTGAATGTGAATACCAATTTTATCTTTAAGTCGGCACGACTTGATTGGAATGCACATCATCAGAGCTCGTCGAGCGGGCCTGAGCCAATGTATCTCAGCTATGCTGAGGAAGTGGGAGGAAGAGCTCCGAGCTGCCGAGCAGCGTGTAAACAGCCGACGGTGTTTTGTCTCTAGACATTTGTCACCTTCTGATTGGTTGTATCCGGCACAAGGCGCGTAAAGGCTCATCGAACTGACGTCCCGCTTCAAATTAGTCGGGTCTGTCGCGAAAAACGAGCAAGCCAAGGCGCTCTACTGGAAAAAAATCAAGTTCTGTTGAGCCTCAATGAGGTAGAGGGCAGCAAGGCCCAGCCTCGAAGAGCTACCAGCTCATGAACACGGAACGTGTATGCAATCCGAGCTTGGTGATCGCCAAAACGACCGTGAAGGGCTTTAAGAAGCCACGGAAATCTTGATCGATGGTGATGCGTCCGGCAATTATGCTCGACGCTTTACAATTGAAGAATGTCAGTTGTATGCTGAGGTGCTGGGAGCGCGGCTGGGTGATTTCGTTACTGTTCGCTTAGCGATGGGGATTTGTGTCACTATGCCGAGGGTCCCTGTGGACCTCGGTGTCAGGTTTCTTGACTTTGATAGCGAGGAGTGCTGCCCGGATTTAGACTTGGATGCAAGGTATGACCTTATCCTTGGTTAGAAAACCATGATATATGGATTTTTTGGAGGCCGAAGACCTTGGTACTACGCGCACATCTCCTGGTGGAACTTTGATGAGTCATGAACTCACATCTGCTAGAAGGCAGAAGCACTATTGGCACGGGCACTAGACCGGGACGGTCAATTTGCTGGATATCGGAGTACCCGATTTGTCGAACATCAAAGGTGCTTTGGACAGAAGTCCCGAGCATAGCTCGCGTGCTGAACATTGAGTGGCATGTAACCCTCAGAGCGCTGCTCAAATATCGGAGCATTCGCTGTATGCCAAGAGTGGCATGGTCGATCGAGGGCCGAGGCATCAAGGCGAGGCCCTTGTGATGTCCTTGGAGTGGCAGGTGATCCACTGAGTACTGCTCACGTTTTGAAGCAGTTGCCGCATGCCAAGATAGGCATGATCGGACGAGGTTTGAGGCATTCTGGGCAGGGCTCTTGGGTTGCGCGTGGAGTGGCACGTCTTTTACTGGAATAATACAACAAATATAGCAGCTCTTCGTCGGTAGTAATTAATAAGATCAAAGCTCCAATGGAGCAGGGAGTGGGGACACTGAACGACGTCGAGTGCATTTTCCGAGTGGTCGCGATGAGACGTAAAACCTCTATAGAGACGAGAGGGCGATACCGTATGTTATCTGCAAGACGCAGGGCGTCGATCCTTACCCAGGGTGTGTCTACTGTAGACGATAGCACACAGCTTAACACCCTTGTCAACGGTATGACGGGGGAGGAAGATGGTGACGCCACCCTCCAGGCTATTCTCGCAGTAGATACTCTTCTTGAGCTGGACAAGATGTCCATTGAAGAGTTTGGTGGTGTCTTGAAGGCAGGCGATTTAGCCGAGGTGGTTATTACAGGACCGAACGAGGAAATTAACTCGTCGTCGCTTCTAGATGAAGCTGCCCTGGGGGACACTAAGAAAATGCTAAACGCACGAAGGGGATCGTTGTTTCTAAAAGATCCTTCGATTCCAAAACGAGAATTCCAAGGCGTCGTCTCCAGAGACCCGCCGTCAGTCCTACCTCTGGACGAGGTGTGCGTCATGAGATCGACTTGGTTCCGGGAAACAAATACTTTAAACACGCCAATGGCCCCAGCCTAAAGAGCGGTGTGACGTCATCGACCCTTTTTCAGTGCGAGTACGAGGCGGGAATGGTGCGTGAGAGCAGGTCTCCCCATTTGACACCCACGTTTTATGTCCGGAAGTCGGACATTAGATGGCATATCGTTCTCGCTTACAATAAGGTAAACGCTACCACCATTCCGGCACAGACGCCAATTTCTAGGAAATATGTTCTCCAGGACAATTTGATTGACTGTACAAAGTACAATGCACTCGACTCTGTCGATGGATATTACCATTGCTCATGAGAGCTAGTGATTTTCCGCTAACAGTAGGTAGCTCTCCGAGCGGGATGCCCTGGGAGTGGCTTGTGATACCGCAAGGGCTGTCAAATGCGCCAACAACATTTAATCGTCTTGTGACGCAATTGTTCAGGCCCCACCGGGCATATGCATAAACCTACTTTGACGACGTTTTCGTCCACAGGCGTGCGAAGCACGGGAGGACGGATGTAAAAAACCACATCGTTCAATTCAGAGCAGTGCTTGAATGCGTGCGCACGAATAAGCTGTATGCTGATGTAGACAAGAGCATATTTGGCGCCGTAGAAATCACCTTTCTAAGGTGCTTCAGTGGTAAGCGTGACCTTCAAGCGGATCCCGCTAAGGTCAAGGATATTGTGGACCGGCCGGTTCCAAAGAACCAAAACGACTTGCGCAAGTGGCTTGGCCTTGCCAACTACTTGCACAAGTTTATGCAAATTATTCGGAAATGGCATGGACATTGTCTAATATCCTTAAGTAGGATACAGAAGGTGTTGGGACACCGGGCATTAGAAGGCTTTTGACAGGGTCGAAGACAGTCTCCTTCATACTCCAATACTGGCGTTGTCAGACCCTGATCATCCTTTAGTGTCGTCTGTGACCCTTCGGACTTGTCATTGGCTGTTCACTGCTGCAAGCAAACGCCGAGGGGCGAGATAGGGTAATCACATTCGAATCCCACCAGCTGAAGGCTGCGGAGAGGAACTACCAGCCCACCACAAGGAATTACCTTCGATGAAAAATATACTTGTCAAGTTCATGGCGTACCTGCTTGGCTCAAAGCCGTTTGTAATCTACACAGATCTTGCACTGCGACTCAGTCGCCTCACCCCTCACAGAAAATGGCCAGGTGGCTCTCATTCTTTGCAGAATATAACTTCAAGGTGAGGTATTGGCCATGAGAGCAGAATGCTTTAGCTGATATGTTCTCACACAGACCAGATCATGAGCTTGCTCATGTCACGACGGTGACGTCGTTGGTGGCAGATTTGATCCGCGCCTTGTACGCGAGTGATGATATGTGCGTATCGCTGCTACAGTCTTTCGGGAGAAAGGAATTTGGAGACTCGTGTAGGCCACGAGATGTGTTTCCCCACGATGAGGACATGAAAAACCTTATCTTTTATGAGACCCACGACACCCTACTGAGTGGTCATCTCAGTTATGAGAAGACGTACAACTCGATGCGTTGCCACAATTGGTGGCGGCACGGCTGGTCAGTTTACCGGTACCCTCCGGGTGTAGGCTGTCCATTAGTATGGACTTTGTGTTTGGCCTACCTTAGCACTCGGCGGGCAACACGGGTGTGGTGGCCTTTGCGGATCATTTGAGCAAGATGGCTCATGGAGCGGCTGTGCCGGACACCATCGACGGTGTGGGTACAGCTACGTTGTTTGCGAATCGTGTATTTTGACAGCATGAACTCCCGGAGTCTGATAGAAACCGCGCTTTCCTGGGCTATCATCTTCAGGGTGCTGGGCGCTAAGGTGACTATGCCAATAGCGGACTACCCACAGACTGATGGTCAGAATGAGCGCGTAAATCGTGTTCTTGAAAACATTCTTCGCATCGCCTGCGCTGAGACGCTGAAGCGCTGGAGCGCTATCTATTCACTCATAGCGTTTTTGCTGAACAATGCAATACATTCGCCTATCGGCAACACGCCGTTTTACGTGAACAGGTTCGTTATCCCTTGCGTCCCCTGACGCCGCCATCCAATGACTCTGGGCTTAGTGGACGAGGAATAGCCGAACGGCTAGCTGATGTCATCCCTCTCAGCGTTCGTAAAGAAGTCGATGACTTCCTGCCTAACAGACTGAGTGTCTTACGACACGTTCGCGACACGATGGCTGAAAGCCAAGACATGCAAAAAGATTATTCAGATGGATGAAGCAGAAAGCTTTAAGGTCGGAGAGCTGAATCCTAAAGACCTTTCTACACATGCAACCTCTGCTTTCCTTAACACAAAGCCTCGTTCACGTTTTATTGGAACTTTTAAGGTCGTGGCCAAGCGAGGCTTTGCGTATGCTGAACCTTCCGAGAAGGATGCGCGCTAACCCGGTGTTTTATGTGTGCTTGCTCAAGCAATACCGAGATCCGGCGCAAGTGAATGCAGAAATGTTGGAGCCGGGGTAGCTTCTTAAAAGGAGCTCGGCCACCCAGAAGCTGAACCTGCACCTGGTTCTGAGCATGAGTGCAGCTATTTCCGTTACAAACGGCGCAAGGCGCTTCATCATTGCACGAAGTGACGTATTCGTCTGCTCGACGGTTAGGAGTCGCTCCAACAGAGCACGGTTATCGTCAACGTAAGTCAGTCGGTGCAAAAATTGCTGCAGGCTCTCGGGGTCTTTCACACAGCGGTAGGCGACCTCGGCAAGACGCTCGGCATGCCGACGGAACTTGTCCTCCAATGCTCGAGGAGCATGACGAGTCACCGGACGGCGATCGACCAAGCAACCCCCGACTCTTCTCGATGAGAATGAAATGTTAAGAAATACAAAATACATAGAAAAAATATTTTGTTCTTTACCGAAAGCACGTAATATATTTTTCCCAGGGGTTATTATTTATAACAAACATTTACTTACGTCTTTTTGTACGGATTCCTGAACGACAAAATGTTTTAAAGTCAACCTTTTGCCAGATTGGTCGTCGAATGTGCAGATACATTGCTTCACGTCTAAATTTAATTTGATACAGACTCTTCGGGATAGATCACAAATCAGTCGAAAACTCACATCCTCGCAGATTTCTAATGTAGATTTAGAGAAAATAGAGACATTCATAACATGAAGAGCTCGAATTATGGGATGCAAATACAACGCCGATAACCGCAGCGTCTTGTCACGACTTGCAGTAAGTGCAGCGGCTTTTACACTTTGGCGTTGAGCTCATCAACTTGTTAGCTGTGAGCGCAAGCTTGCTTTGTCCAGCAAGTTGATGCCGCAGTGACCCTTAGTGACACTTGTCATCGCGATAGTAGATTCATCGAGCAGGAAGCTTATAGCCCTGTAGTGGTATTACCCTCGCTGTTCCGCAATCGATACTGAGGACATGATGCTGCTGAAAGTACTAAAAGGAACCAAGCAATGTGGTATAATCATGCCCAGCACATGCAAGCAGAAAAAGCAACAAGCGAGCTGTTTAAGCGACTTGTGCAACTGAACTGTATCCTAATGATAAAGCCGATAACACACTTAAAAAGGCAGCTCGTGACAAAAGAGTTCCGAAGTCTTCGTGTAACAGCAGCTAGCCGCGAAAAAATGCGCATGCAGTGGCACAATAATTGACCATCACAGTTTGAAATTCTATTAGCCATCTCATCTCCTGACTTTCTGATAGCAACAACTACAGTCGATATGGAGGCCTTGACAGCCAGTATGGAGATGTGAGACGACATTTGTCATCACAATTTGAAGCAAACTTGCGACAGCACGTGTACCCACCTCACGGAGAATCAACATAATTTTGGCGCTGAAAACCTCGCTGTGAAAAGCAGACAGCTAAAAAACGCCGGGTCAAGGTCGCAAGTTAAGCTAATCATACATTCGCCACGGTATTGAACAATTGAAGCCCGCACTACATCCAGTCACGTGATATTATGGTGGATAGCGTAAGCTCTTACCCTCAGTCTCTAGGTGAAGATTCGACAGTAAATAAAGACAACACAGATATCGCTAGTTACAGCAGTATGTCTTTTTCTATTGTGCGAGCTTCTCCACGCGTCAGTGCAAGCGCGCACTTTTTTATCAAACTCATTGAAGCTCATTGATAATCATAGCTTTACTTGATAAGCTTAATTTATGAATCTATTGCTAGCGTCCCCTCGCTAATATTGGTCTCTTTTTATCAAGAAATATATATAAATTCTGTTTTTCCGAGAAATTCGATTTCCACAGCTTAGTCGACCTCACCAAACCTGAATAATATGTGGTTCTCATATCTACTACCGAGATTATCTGCAACTTTTCGAGCGCTAAATCTCTCAGCATACCCAAAAACTATATCACCTCGATCTGCATGGTATCCGCAAGAGTGACAATGGAGCAGTCTTCCTTGGTATACTTCACGTTGTGTACAGGGACGCGATTTCTCACTGAGAAGGTTGCAGCACTACATATAATAGGCTTCATCAATGTTCGGGACAGGCAGGCTAGAGTAAGCGCAAATTTTGAGGGCGCTACAAACGGGTTCATACGTATCGCAGAACTCCGTAATTGCTCAATGTCCATGTCCTTTGTTCAAAGAAAGCTGTGGCAAGCGATTACTTTACAAGTCTTGCAGAGCCGAGTACAGCGGCTGTCTCAGAACTGCCAATGCAACAGTTGACCACATCGTCAGCACATACCATACCCATTTTACCATGCTGAGGAAACGCAATGTGAGCAGGAAAACACTTGCTGAATACTTTTATAGAGCAGATGGTGCAGCTGGGGTGCCGTAGCTCTTTGCTTAGAGGAAGTTAAGCCAAGGCCACCGACCTTGCGTCTTAATTAGATCCAGTACGATTGCAGCGGATCAAGTCCGCTGCCTATATGAGCACTGCCAACCTAAATGAACTCTTCCGTTTATAATTGAAAATGTATTTAGTTGTTTTATATGCGGCCGAGCCGCCAATATCTCAAACTCTAGGTTTTCCTGATAAATTGAGAAGTACCTAATTAATATCGTAAAACGTAAGTGATATAGTAATATGCATTACTTTTGGCAATCCTGCCTTGTGCTGGCTAATACACACTTATGTACGTACGGTCGCACCATCTTGTGTGACCCGCCCTTTCATAAACTTGTGAATACCCCCTCCCCTATTCACGTGTAATGGTCGCCTCATACGAGACTTGCGTGTCTGAGACACCTGAACGTACTTTAAGAACAACGTTTAACATTCTTTGCCCAATGATCCCTGTGTCTAGGACACGCAAAACACCCAGCCTGGTTGGTAGCGAGAGCGCCAGCGGGCAAAGCCCTTCTTCTTCTGCACAGATTGTATCTCCAGACAGTACGTCCGCGACTTCACGGGAAGCACATCTCAAGCTCTCTGCAACCGAGCGCAACACACTACACCCGCCCCGGGCGACGAATACCCTTATCGAGGAGTTGAAGGAAGTCAACTACGAACGGATATTCCTTTCCACGCACGGGAAGACGAGGATGATGGAGTACGTAAT